CGAGGCGCGGGCTGAAGTTCACCTGCAGCAGCCGGCTCTGCCCGCAGAACTGCACCACCGGCCGCTCCGCGCACAGCTGCAGCGAGCCAGACTTCACTTGCGCCTAAAGTAATGTGCCAAGTAAACATACTGTCATGATTTGTTTAAATTGAATGGTAGTATAATTTTTACGGCGCAACGATTGGGGACTTATTTTTAAAAAATAAGCCTGGTTAAACGAATTGCGTTAAAATGAATTACATTTATAAAATACTGGCAGCTGCAGCGAATCCGACTTCACTTGCGCCTAAAGTAATGTAACAAGCAAATATACTATTATGATTTGTTTAAATTCAATGCTAATATAATTTTTACGGCGAGGCGAGTTGGATTGCATTTTAAAAAATCAGCAACATAGCCTAGTTAAATGAATTGGGTTAAAATAAACTGTATTTTATACGTAAATTGCACTGGCTTCGTCTGAACCTAAACCTAGATATTTCAGTTTATCAGTTACACAGAAGTAAATAATTTTCCTTTATACTATCAAGTTTGCGTAAGCTATAATACATATGCATGTGAAAACAGTAACCTGAATATCTCTGGACCATTCTTCGTGTAGCTGCGTATACGAATTTTTGATTTCTATCAACACTTCGTCAGCAAGACGAGATACTTCTTCGCTACCTTGGAACTCTTTCAAGTAGTTTTCAATACACATCTTAATTTCTTTAATCTGGAAACGAATACAAAATTTTCAATGCTAAAGAACGTTGGGATTACGGTTTTATACAAAACTACCAATTGTCGCGTAAAATTATTTGTTTCTCCTTTAAATATGCCCTATGTTATTCACAGATAAATTACCTTTTTAATGGTGAAGGAATTTTAAAAATCGACCCAGTAAGTTTTTTCGTGAATCAAGTACATGCAAAAACACAAATCTTTTCCCTTTATTATATTAATATATACGAGTATATAGATATACAATATATAGACAGAGTATTTAAATAAGCGTATACTTTAGCCTCCATGTGCTTGGCGAACTGTATGTGGTGCACGAGCGGCGACATGTGCGGCGGGCGCGGGGCGGCGGGGGGCGCGGCGGGCGCGGCGGGCGGCGGGGCGCGCGCGCGCCGCACCAGCGCGCCCAGCGACGACACCAACATCTGCAGCTCGCCGCTCAGCGCCTGCTGCACTGCCGGCCTGCTCATTAGACACCGGTACCGCATGAACTCGTACAACATCTGTAACAAATAACACACATACACTCTAATTCTACTAACGCGATCTATTTTTTTTTATTTATTTACTAGCTGTTGCCCGCTACTTCGTCTGCGTGGTATTAGGAAATAGACGCACTATGTAAATAACAAAAACTACGCGTCCCTTGGGAATCTGACATTTTTCGGGGTGAACCTTGTCCCATGTGTACACTATACTTTCGTTTTATAACTGTGCCAAATTTCAATAAGATATGTTGAAACGTTGCAGAATTATCGAGTTAACATTAAAATACCAAATTAATCAATGTCATCACACGTATTAGAATAGCGCGCCATTCTGGCGGGAAGCAGTGGCCTGAGTGTTTAAATTAATTATGTTGTTACAATGACATTAATGTTATTAAAATACTCACTTGTTTAGTAGAAGTGTTGTGCAGACGTGGTCGCAATTTTTCAGCAATTTTCGATTCCGAAGGTCGTAAGTTCGATGAGAATCTAAGCACCGCATTCTCCCAAGCAGGATTTTTACCGTTACATATCCAAACGTTTATGTCTAAAAAAATTACACCACTTGTAATATCGACAGTAAAATCGATAATAATAATGAAGTAATTGATAGATTTACTTGTAAAAGGTTCGAACAACTCATCAGTTTTCAAATCGGATTTCTCTTTGTTCGTTAACAGTTTATTTAGTTGGTTATGAATAGATCGGAGATCGTATATCTGAAAAGCATCGATGAAAAATACAATAAAACCACAAAGAATCCATATAAGTGCATTCGTATAAAGGTAAATTTTACCTCTTTCACTCTCTTCTGAAAGTTTACACAAAACTGTGGTACATAGTTCTTCCCACTCCAAGCATGAAGTGCGTAGTTCGGCCAATACGTCTCTGTGAGAGACACACAAGCGCTAATCCAAGTCTCTACCACGTTCAGACTCTCATTGATCAGTTTCAAAACTTCATCATCTTTGCTACTATTATGAACCTTCCATACATCAACACCACTAAATATTTTTTGAATTATTCTGCAAATTAGGTGACCTAAAAATAACATACAGTACATAAAAAAGTTTTAAGTAACAAAATGTATTAAAAAGCGAGCATATCAGGAACAATAGCCTAAAGGTTTGGTGTACAAACTACGGATTTTGCGGTCGAGGGTTCGAATTTTCCATTCGACTACTGTCATGGACCATATCCTGGGACAAGCTAACATGAAATGGTCGAAAGAAGTATTAATAAATCAACAAAAATTTAATGTTTCTATTTAAAAAAACCCTACACATACCAATAATGTCGAAGATATGTATCATGCGATCTTGAGAGTAAGCTGATACTGTGCATCTCCAAATGTCGTCCAAAATGCCTCCAATGTTCTCCGCATTGTCCCTCATCTCGTGAACTGCACTCGCCTGCATTGATCTTAGAGATACGAATATAAACATTAAGCAAAAGTATTACTTATTATTACTATTATTACAAGAATAGATGGAGTAGATACATAGATAAATTTTTCATAACAAACAAATTTCAAGTGAGAGAGGTATGTCAGAATCGAACCAAATGGTGGTCCGTCGTCTCTGCCTACCTCTATGGGTTACGGGCGTGAGACATGTTGTTTAAATTCATCTTATACATTATTATACGATCAATTTTGAAAATATCTCAAAAATGTTTTAAAGTTAACATACTTTATTTCTTCACAAATGTCTTCAAAGAGCACTTGATAGTTTGAGGCGGCCTCTCTTTCCTTCTTTGAGGCCTCGCGCTTCTCCGCCATAGCTCTCCAATAGTCAACCTCATCTTCAATTGTTAAAATGACTGAAAAAAGGTTTAATTACTTTTATAGACACTAAAAAATTTGTTGTTCTAGCTTAAGGAAAGATGCGGTCATGCAACGAAACGAGAAAAAAAGTACGTTGATTTTTTTTGTTAATTCAAATTTATGTCAATCAAAGCATAATAGCGCCAAGAATAAATTATCTTTGGAGATAATTTTATTTTCAAACAATTTCTGGGTAAATTACTATCCCTAAGGAAACAATAAATAAAGTATGTATTACCATTAATATTAGCAGTATTTTTGCCATGTGTCAATATTCTTAAATTATTTTCCAAATCTGTAAGGTTCTTCTGTAATTTGTTCGTATACAAATCGTCACCCTGGAACAAATATTAAAAAACATCGATTTGAATGTTTCAAAAAACTTAGGAACAAGAAATCACAATGTCATAAGTAACTAATTTTTACATTAATTATTAGAATCTTAAATTATATAAAACCCTGACTAATAGATAGCAATTTAAAATGATCATAAAACAATTCAAGGTTACAAGGAAACAATAAATTGCAATCTTTAATTATAATAATGTGAGGAACAAAAACTGTGAAATAAATAATGTCATTGACATGAGAATCAATCGTTTATACGACAATACTAATATAATATTCATGTCATTGTATAACAATTTAAAAAATAACGACATTAACCAGCCACCAAAGACTCAAACTACATACAAAAAAAAACAATATATTCATACCAGACTTAACAAGGGACTAAATATTTGTCTCAAAATCTGATATAAAGATTCCGCTGCTCCAGTACTTATTGTTATAATGTTGACATTATTTATGCTTTCTTGTTTAGACAAGTCTACCGGTGAAGTCTTGTAAAAGATGATTGACTTTTGTATGTCACATTGGATCTGAAATCAATTAATATTCAAAAATAAGGAACACATATATGATTAAAATATGATTGTAGATTGAGGATTCAGACAAGCTCTCTCAAATATGCCACTTTAAATATAAAACTGAGTATAGGTAGCTTAAAGGTGTAGCAGCTTGAATTGGAAATCTGGAAGTCCTGGGTTTTAATCCTGACATCTACCAATACGTTTTTGAAATCCATATGTATGTATACCCAACATTCTGAGAAGAAATTCAGGGATAGGATCTGAGCACTCAGTTGGATTAAATAGTGAGATTAAGATGAAATATAAAATTAATTTTCATTTCATACTTACTTGGGTGGTTAGATCCAAGATATCTTTGTTTAATCCAGTTTGAAGCAGGTATGTTTGTGAGTTATGTATAAAATCATACAATGCATCTTCAGCTTTATCATTTAGTTTTAAATCAGATACATTGTAAAAAGGTTCTGAAACGTTACAATATTTTTGATTAAGTACTGAGCGGAAATTTACGATAATGACGATGAATAAAGTAAAGGTTTATCGTCGATCAATGCGTAAATGATTTGTTCGTACAATACCATCAAAGGTTTTCAGATATTTATTATTTAAAGAAATGTCACACTTATTGATTATTAGTATTTTCAGTGATGCGTGACTGCAAAGTACTTACCAGCGGTACTTATTACAAATTCACGTATTTTAGACATTATAACAAGCTTTTTTTTTTTAAATCATACCAATTAACTTAAAAAGAAATCATTATGTAAATCAAGGAAAACCTTCTTTAGTCTTATAAAATACTTTAAGTACAAGACAAACTGAGGGTAGTTAAAACTTTACACATTTTAACACAAAGCTGCAAAAACCTCACAAAACAATGTTGTTGACATTCTTTGTTGTCATGGAAACCAGATCAGGAAACCAGTGTTAACCACAGACAAGATAGTTTACCTCCTTTTTGTATTTGTTTTACTTTTAACTTAATTAGCTTAAAAGATTTAAAGCAAAGTTTTAAAGTTGTGCTTTGAGACTGATCCTGTTACACGTCTGACTTACATTATGGTGTTTCTTGTTTTAAACAGTTCATAAATAGAAACTGAAAATATTTATCTGGCATTGACCATAGATATCTATTAATAGAGGCCAGTGAGTATTGGCAAAAAAAAAAACTACTTGACAGATGTCAAATATCAATTGTCAATGTCAGTATCAAAAATATCTTATGTAAAAATTAGGAATTTATTAATTTTTAAACGATTATTGCGTACTAACTAACTATTGGAAAACATTAATATAAACTATTTAAAATGCTACGACTTCGACCTGTAAGTGACTATCTTAATGCTTTCCTAAGAAATAAACAATTGATATTTTCGTTTAACTTCTTTAACTTTATTTAGGCTTTTAGAATGCTGCAGCAAATAAATCGCGTAGCAAATTTTAGTGATACTACGAAGGGTGTAGATACAACGTATATGGAAATTCCAGTATATAATATAGACAAACCGCAACCACTTGATAGTCGTAAAGCTAGGTAAGATGTGAACAAGACTATAACAACCCTTTTAAATGATCACCATATATGACATAAAACAAAGTCATAATTTCTAAATCATACAAATTTTAAAGTGAAGTAAGTAATTACTAGGCTTGTTTGATCTAACTTATATCAGTGTTAGTATGTTATAGTTGTATGATTTGGCAATAGAATATACTTACAAACTATCCATTGTTGTGTATAATGCAGCATCTATTCACACCATATAAAACATTTTTCTTAAGTTGAATTAAATTAACAGGGTCATATTATCAATATTATTTCTAACAAACACTAGAGCATTTTAAAGTAACCAAACTACTATACAAGAAGTTTGTTTATTAACTAATTTATAATTAAAATGCAGTAATAATGTGAAATGTTAAAATTGATTGAGGAAGTTAGTTAAACTTATCAATCAAATGTTTTTCTTATGTTTAACATCTTCACTTGTTTTATCATTATTCAAACAATTGGACAAGGAAGTGATGTTCTGTATACCTCATTGTATCAATTAACTATTGTATTATCTATGTAGGAAGGTTGGATGTTCTAATCTGAAATGGTTTTTATTTAAATATTAACTCTGAGTATACATTTTCATTGTAATACCATACTGCCATATCCTAGTCATTTATAATCTTAATTAAATCCTAAATATAACATTTCTAATTCTTCACATCTTACTTCTTACTAATATTATAAATGTGAAAGTTTATATGGATGGATGGATGGATAGATGGATGGATGGATGGATGGATGGATGGATGTAGCCTAAATGGCTGAACGGATCTCCATGAAATTTGGCACAGATTTAGAGCATTGTGGGGGCAAGAACACATAGGCTACTTTTTATCCCGGGAATAGTTACGGTTCCCATGGGAATCATTAATTTAGTTTTTTAATGTTTACTCGATCATTCTGCAACGGTTCAAAATATCTTATTGAAATTTGGCACAGATATAAAACAAAGTCTGGAGTACACATGGGATAAGCTTCATCCCCGAGATATGTCCGGTTCCCGAGGGATACATAGCTTTTTGTAATTTATATAGTTTGTATGTTTTCGAATACCACGCGGACGAAGTCGCGGGCAACAGCTCGTTTATTATAAATTATTTTACTGTTTTAAACAGTTGTTGAAACTTAATTATCTTCATTTCACAGACTGCATTATCAATCCCGAAAAAGAGGAATGTTGGAGAATGATTTACTTCTTAGCACCTTCGCCAAGAAGTACTTGGACAGCTTCACAGAAGAGCAGACAATGATGTATGATCGCCTCATCAACTCGCCAAGCAATGATTGGGATTTGTTCTACTGGATAGTTGAAAAACAGCCCACACCTAAAGAATTTGACAACGAAATAATGGTTCTACTAAAGAAACACGCCAAAAATGAAAAAAGGGTCATATTATCTCAACCTCCATTACATTAAATGATTTGACTTAGACTCTGTCAGTTATTTTTAGATAAATCTAGAGAAAAAGAATGCGTAATTAATTTAATTAGTATTACTATTTTGTTGTAAATTTTAAATGAATATTTTCTATTAACATAGCTATATGTAAACTTGAAGACTTTTATTTCGCCGAATTTTTCCTTACAATTTATGTAAGCATTATAAATAAACAACATATGAATAAAGGTGTACTATGTAGCAGGGAAAGACTCGATAGACAAACATAACCAGTTTTCCGCTTTTTAAAATCTCCCTATATCAGATATCATAGCTTAGTTAAACTTGTTTTGACCACATTTTACATAACGCCAAAACAATCTCGAAATTGAATAGAACTAAAATAAAACCTGCCAAAAAGTTTCCGAATAGTTGCGATTGAAATGCCAAGATAGCTGCTTAGTGTCGATATTGTTACTTTGAATAATTAATAATGTTAATTGTCCTGTGCGTAAAAGAGCACTGATTCGCCGATGTTAATATATTCATTAAAATGTTCGAACACGACCAGACTTTTCACTCGACCCCGGGCCGGCGCGGCCAGGACCAAGCAGGCCGCAGTCGGGCTCCGCGTCTCAGACGGTTTGCTTACTTCTACTGCGCACATTGTCCCATAAAATAAATAACCTAGTGCGTAATCTTTATTTTGATAAAGTTTTCGCGTTATCAAATGATGCTTATAATTTGTGTTGATTATGAATGACTACGTCATAGGTCAGCCCACGGTCTTCTTATCATTTGCTCTTTATATATGTTTGCGCTGAAGACACAGTGAAGTCAGTTAACTCGCAGCGAGCAACGCTTATACTTATTTAAATTGTGAAAGTATATATTAAAATAAATTAAACAATATTCGAACTTTTATTTCTTATTCGATATCGAACAATTCGAGTGTGATATATTTTGTGATTATTTTTAAAAGTGATAATATAACAGTGTTTTAAAAATGCCTGTTCGCCGCAGCAAGGTAAAAGCTTAACAAATATTATACATTTTAAAATATCGTCATTTATCTAACGACTTAATTAATATAAAACAAATTATCCTACTTGTGTTGTAGGACACACAATATTAAAAATGTAACTGATGTCGTTGAAAACATCATAAACAGTAAAAGCTTTATTCCAAACGCGCACAATGACGACTAAGCTTTTAAAACTTTCAAGATAAATCTAAGTTAAAAACTCTGGCATGATAGCAGTAATAATTAAAAAGGTTTGAACTTAAAATGTGTAACATTGTAATATACTAGTTTACCACATTCAGATGTAACTACGATAGAATAAAACTTCTACGAATAACTTCGTCAATTATGCGATAAAGTTAAGCTAGCCTACAAAATTGTCAAAAAGTTTATAAATAAGTTGTCTTTGACTACCATAAGAGAAGTTTGGGCACACGCTTAATAATATAAATGAACTCGAATTACTCCTTTTCATGCACAGTGTCAACTTTCAAAAGTTCTTCGCAAGTTTCCTAACATTTTTTTTAGAAAGCATTCAAGAAAACGTCTAAAACAACGGTCACACTGTACCTTTGACAGCGATGTTTTATCGTTCGATAACCATTGACCTTTTCCACCTGATATCATGTTTTAAATAATTTTTAAATACTTCTTAAGCCTATTGCATTGGTATAATCAGTCTTATAAAAGAACTATGTATTGATTGTCGATGATGATTGCCAACCTTCGTTAGGAGATGGCACCAAAAGAAGAAAGAAGAAGAATTGATTGTTATAGAAGTTGCGTATTTATACTGTATAGAAGACAATTAAGATATTTGTTCGATCTAATTGTTTATAAGCTGGAATGCGGCTTTGTTAGAAAAAAGACCGCGAAATTGTAATGTTACAAAGTTTAATAATTTATTCTCCATTCATTACGAAAGAGTGCGAATTAGATATAATGAAGAGCATGAAGTACAATAATTACAAAGTCAGAACAGCTTGCAGGCACCTTATGACTTCATTAAATATTTCTTTAAGAAAATTGCTCGTTGATAGGTAAAAGTTTGTCAGCCCAGTGATAGAGTATCCTAAGAGTAAATAAAAAACACAATTTTATCGAGCATAAAAATTTCAATAATGCTATACACAATACACTTACATTCAACGGTCAATGTTAAATCCACAACATATTAAACAAAAAAAAGAAAATGCAAATATATGTCTACTTAAAACATATCTGATAGAGTCGAAATTCGGATAATAATAATGAATGTGATTATAGCTGGAGAAGTGTTAAGCACCAATTTACGAACATTGTAGTAGTTTATGATTCTATTGCCAGGTATTGCTAGTGAAATGGATATTCGAGAACCAGCACAAGCTGCAGACGGTGCGATGGTGCAGCTCGTCGCTGCGGTACAAGGAGCTAGAGGAGAGTGCGCAGGCGCTCGAGCACGTGGCACCTCACGCGCCCCCCGCGGCCGCGTCGCCCGACGTCAAGCCACGCCCCTACCGAGCCCCAGAAACTTCCTTCAAGGTAGGCGAGATAAGTTCAACAAGCGAATTTAGATTTTTATGTTGACTCGTGTTGCGCGTCACTTGCAAACATTGCTAATTGAAATTCTTAACCATCCTTCAACCGCTGAAGTATCAAATGACGACGATTGTTTTATTGACCGACTTCCCAAAAGAAGGAGGTATTCAATTCGTCGATATGTTTTTTTAAAAGATAAATTACATCATATTTTTTGTTTTTAATAAGAGTAAAAAGATATACAAAATATTCTTATAGTAACAGCTTTACAATTTTAAGACATAACAATATATTTTATGTTTAAACTTTGTTCATGTTCACGTTTATACAAAAAAAAATAGAATTTAGATTACGTAGTTAAATAAAAAAGCAATGAAGATTTAAACATTTTTTAACTTTGGTAACTATATAAGTATTTAAAATAGTTACGTCTAGCTGGGTGTGCTAATTAATTCAAACTAGTTTTTTCGATTAATTATTTTGTGTCTATCTATCTACTTTTAGAGCATTAATTTTATTGTTTATCGAAGTATTGTAGGGTATCATGAAAAAACCTAAATAGTTTAGGATCACATTTATCAACATAATCGGCGATAATTCATTGCGTTTTTTTATAGCTACATGAGAGTGTTTTCAAGAGTAGAGTGACTATAATAGGGTTTTTGTTTAAAAAGATATATAAACATTATTTTCTTACAGCACGATGACTTACAAGTGACTCTCGCGGCGCCGTACCAATTGCAGCGCAAACCGGACGCACCAGATCTGGGCTTTGGCAAATATTTCACAGACCACATGCTAAAAATACAGTACCAAAAGCAATTAGGCGGATGGCAGAAACCAGAAATTACCCCGTTTGAGCCGCTGAGCATCCACCCAGCAGCGAAAGCCTTGCACTATGCGATACAGGTACGCCTTGGGACAAAATATGCTTTAACGTAAATTATTTTCTCAATTTAACAAAAGATCAACGATATTTGCATTACTTTGTGTAAAGTCAACTGCATTATCATGTCATTTTATCCCTTTTTTTATAATATAGGGCAAAATCACATTATGAGATAGCGATTAATTTACATGATATTGATTATATATTGTTTTCAGCTATTCGAAGGTTTGAAAGCATACAGAGGTGTCGATGATAAAATCCGATTGTTCAGGCCAGATTTAAATATGCTACGGATGAACCTCGCGGCGGAGAGGTCCGGTCTGCCGATGTTCGACGGAGAAGAGCTAATAAAATGTATGAAACGGTTAATTCAAATTGACCAGGAATGGGTTCCCCATTCTGAAACATCTACTTTGTACATAAGGCCTACATTAATAGGAACTGAGGTGAGTTTTTTACACCCAATATCGACACAAAAGATAAATGAATACACAATTTCGATACATAAAGCCACGCAACTACATTTTTATTTTACCTTTGCTAAGAGGGTGAATATAACTACTTTTCTATTCTATAGGCACTTTCACGGCTGAAACTAAACTTTAAAAAAGCTAATAAAATCAAACTCTGTTTACATTATGCATGAAAACGTAGTTGAAATATCGAGATTCAAGATCAGTAATTATATGGTGACGTAAAAACAAAATTATTTATTAAAAATGATAAGACGCTAATTTTTCGGGTACATTCAATGATATCAGTAAGCGCCAAAGGAACACCTAAGTATTAACTGATAATACAGGTAAATATAATTATCACACGTTTAGTTGTAAGATTCTTATCGAGATTAGTTTTATCTTTTTGACATACCCAACAACGATCAAGTGAATTTTTATGACGCTTTCACATTGTCACAGCGACACGTGAATTAAAAAATAGTTCAAGATCCCGTGGCGACCAGATTAACGTCATTTTAGCAAAGCTGGATATTTGGTACCCAATACAAGCCAAAGTGGCTTTTTAAAATCTGTACAACCAAGTGCTACACATATAAATCAATGTTGTTGATATAAAGCCGTAAGAGATGTCACCAACAGAACAGATAACGTGCTCAAGATCAATAACTTACGTAATATAAACAATCACATTTAGTAAACATATAGAATAATATTTTCTTATTGAAATATTACGCCAAAGTCACGAGAATACGCGATCAAACACGTGCATACATTTTTAAATTCAATATCTATCTGAAAGTTCATGTTTCGAAAGAACATTACGTTTATTTTGAGAAAAAGGTTTATTTGAATTAAGTAATTCTTTTTCTTCAAATGAAAATATCACTGAATTGGCGTTGGGACAAAAAATTTAGTTATATACATTACGTGTATCGAAATGTCCAAAAAATGCAATTAAAATATTATTAATTAACATACAATGAATAGAACTGAAACTATAAAAGTGTAATTTAAAATATTCTACCTTACTTAATACAATAAAGTTGTTTTCCAAAATTGCATATTTTATAGAATTCGTAAATTAAAACGACGTAATTACGTACGTATCCTTATTTTTTGTAGATCTTTAATAGTGTTAACTTTTATTCTTAAACCACTAGTATCTTGTAATTATATAAAGAAGTACTCGTAAGCTCAATAAGAATTGATGCCATTGAATATTTTCCGCAATCTTACGATACAATTGTCCACTGGCCGGCCTTCTAGCTTTTTCTCCTTTCTCGTTTATATACTTCTACAATATAATGCAAAACATTCGTAATACCGTTTAATTTGAAACTTGAAGTTTTGTTTACTGCAAGCCTATAAACCTGTTATTTATATGCGACACTGGTTTGGTCGGTCTCGATCGTTGAAAAACAATTGCAAAACATTGATTGTGACAAGTTATCGTTTAAAATGAAACAGTTCAAATTATTCAGACGAGCAAAAAGCTAACTTTAAAATTTATGTGTAATATATAAACAATAATAAGCATTGCAATTTAAAAAAATAATAAGTTAAATGTATGCACATGTATGTTAAACAGACATACAGTACATGTTAATAAAACTAATTTTAAATATCAGAACAAAATACAGTCAAGCACATTTTTTTCTATAATTGCATTTAAAACATATACCAATGTTTGTTCTGTCCATAAAATAGACCAAAAGCTAAAAAATTCTTGAATACAAACGTTGTACTAAATTAAGATATTGTTAAAGTGAGGTAAATGTACATGAACGCAATCTAAAACGTAAATAACACGAAGTCACTGACTCGCTTGCTCTCATTAATACATTTTATAGTTCGCTCATTAATTAATCATTCAGTTTTCCACAAATTTGCATAACAGCAAAAGTAGAGAAACTATTCATTCAACTAAATTGGTATAAATTTTTTTGCACGTTAGCTCTTAGCCTAAAAAAATTTGAAAAATAAACTATGAATCATTAATGTAGCGCTGCTATTATCGTTATACTTTGATAATTAAATCAAAGCTAATATCTCGACATAAAGGCAATTTAAATGGCGACTATTTTATAACAATACTGAAGTATTGTATTTACAGGCAACCTTCGGTATAATGGCGCCAGAGTCGGCGCTGTTGTTCGTCATCATGAGCCCGGTGAGCGCGTACTACAAGGCGAGCGACGACGGCGCGGTGTCCATCTACGCAGACCCTAGCGTGGTGCGCGCCTTCCCCGGCGGCGTCGGCAATAGAAAAGTCGGATCAAACTATGGACCTACGATCGGTAACTATCCCTTAATTAACTCCAAAAATATGTAAAATCACGTTATATTAAGTATCTATCTGTCTTATAATCTGTTAGCATGTTTAGTCTCGCTTATATTTGGGATGTAAGATAAAACGAAAACGATATAAAAAGGGTTAAAAGATGACCTTTCATTTGTATTTCTCCTACAGACGCGACCGCCCGAGCGGCGCAAATGGGCCACCACCAAGTATTATGGCTGTTCGGGCCAAACCACGAGCTGACTGAAGTTGGAGCTATGAATATATTCATGGTCTACATCAATGAACACGGAGGTAAGAATTAATTATATCTAAGACATTCAAAGTACATTCAAACATCGTTATATCGCAATTATTTATCTCCGGCTAAAGAAAATGTAGGTTAGATTGATAGTTGCGAAAAAAACTTTCAAATAACTTTTGAATTTACAGAAATTTCAGATGATACGTAATGATTCGACCCAATTAACTGGTAAATAATTTATATTTAAATTACCATGATTGTTCAATGGGGTCGTAATGCGAGATAAATCGCAAGAAGTAGGCGTTTTAAAACAATTCAGTACCACCATTATAAGTAAATAAAAAGTGAATCAAAACTGAAGCTTTCTTTAATGTGTGACCTGCTTACCGGTTTATGTTTATACTTTAGATAAATTCTAAGATAATATCATTTGATTTATACGTGATCAAAAGTACTAAATAAGAAGAATAAGCTAACTTTGGTATCGTGTGGTCGATGCGCGGGCATGTGAGCATCATTGTGTGTTATCGCCGCTGACCTGTGGCCGGATAATTCTCGTCTCATGTGAAGCAATAACAGCGGTCACTAACATCACTACATTTCTAGACACTTACTACAGCTGATTTAAACTGGTTAACTTACTGTCAGAAAAAGAGAAAGGATCTTTCGTAACCTCACTTAACTAGGACAAATGTAATACCTAATTGTTCTGGAAGCTCACCATCGATACTATTAATTTTAAACAGGATATATTTAACATATTCATTATCAACTAATAAAAAGTGGCGACGTGAAATTTGAAAAACTCACCACTTTTCGCTAGCGAAATTTTAAAAGTAGAGCTTGTTTTAACATTCAAAAAAGGTAAACGAGATTTCATTTATCAAATCAACAGTCCTGTATTTGTGTATTCCAAAAAGATATCGTCGACGCAAATATATCACGCCATCTGACGCAAACACGAGCGAAGGTTACATTCGTTTGGTATCGAGTTGCGAGCTTTCAAGTTTGCTTCATTGCCGCTTCGCAAAAAGAGGTGTGTCCGATCACGTTATATCAGACGATGCAGAACTCGTTTCATACGTTCACCTGCACCACTACTGTGACGCACACCCGCGCCCGCAGCCCGACAACACCCACATTATATTGTTATGATGAAACTAGTAAATAATATTTCTTATCAACCAGCATTTTCCTTTGTTAGCATAGAAAATATTATGTCCAATGCTTACAAGATTTACTGCAGTTAATAGTTGAATAAATAAATTATTATCAGTTCGTTGATAAGTTAAAATTTTTTAAACATCGGCACATAGATTAAATAAAATAGGAGCTGTAATAACAATTTCTTTTAGCATAAGACTGCAAAATATAAGAAAAAATATACGGTCTGGTTAACATTTTAAAGGAATAATCACTTTATGATTAATCAATGAATTAATAAAGCAATTTGATAAGTTACTCTCTCATTAACATCAATTATCACAACTGTAGGCATTTTAATGTTTTTGCATTTATATTACAAATGCACGCATATAAAATACACGCATATAGGCATTTGTAGAAATATTAAAATGCCTATATCTGTATCTATTATTGAATATAATGCCGAGAGTAACATAACAAATTGCTCTACATCCAAATTCGCGGAGCATTTTTTGCAAGTCATTAGACAAGCGCTAAGATGTGCGAAATAATTTTGGCCCCCGACCAGCTTTCAATTTTATAAACAAGTCAAACTAGTTTTGTCGTATAACATCAGGACGTACAACGAACTGGATAAGTTAAAAATAAAATTAGTAGACAGTTTAAAATTGAAAAAAGGTGTTCAAAACATTTAAAAAGTTTTTGTAAATTATATATATCTAACAGAAAAAAAAATGTTTACGTTGTAATTGAGCCGAGCATTAGTAACACAGGCAGGTCTTGCGTCAGATTGCAAGATTGAATACTTGATTAATTCATGAGCATTTTGTTTTTAGCAGTCCGTATAAACTAATACATTAACATTTTAAATTTTGCAAAAATTAAAATTGGACGCCTTAATAAAAAATGTTGGCCGTATTGGCAATTCTTATGTAATGATTTTATCCGTGTATCTATTACATCAGATTGGGGCAAATGACCTGGTGGTTCGCAGGATGTTATGTGACCACTACTTGTAGATAAAATATTTAAGCAAATATTTTTTTACAGAGAAACAATTAAGTACGCCTCCTCTTAATGGCCTCATCTTACCTGGAGTGACGCGACAGTCGATATTAGAGCTGGCCAGCGAGTGGGACGACCTCACGGTGAAGGAGGAGGTTATCACCATGGACCGAGTTATCGAGCTCAACAATTCAGGACGGGTAAGAAGATCTCTTATTAAATTGATACTTTTTAATATAATAGGGTGGGAAACGAGCAAGTGGTTTTCGCAAATTCAGCGCTATAGCCAAGCGACTGCTTCCCGAAGACATCCGCGATAGCAGATGCATTCTCTACCTTTAATCGACGGCGGCGAGGAGGTCGAAAGAGAACATTATTGAACAAATGAAAATTCCAACAGTCTTAGAAGTCCTCCAATATGATAGTTTAATAATAATTTATGGACGAACACCTGGGGATTTAACATTTTTAAAAATGGTACCTATGATTTAATTTCAGTAACATTTAAACCAAAAAATTATCAAAAAGTATGTCACTAGTAACGAGCCTATTTGTTTCTGATAAGATAATTTTATCATTGCATTCAGTAGTTTTCCCGCCCACAGTTAATCTAAATACCTAAAGTCAATGATTCTTGTAAAAATATTTATTTGGTCGATTGTCGGCCTTGGACGCTACAACTGTAAATGTAAATTGATTAGCAAACTTTCTAACGATAATATTATCATTATATATGACACAAGATAAGATAATGTAACTACGTTTTTTTGCGTTCTAATTGAAGTGCGTAGTTCAAAATTAGGCGCCACATGCCGTGTGCGCTACTGCGCAGTTACTTATATCTAACAGGAAGTCTGAAAATTGTTTTCGAAGTAAATATAAAATTGAATTAGATAACTTAGACAGTGCAAACATATTTAGCACGTGGAATGTCATATTTTTTTCTATACCCCTCGTAAGTGTCTTTTTTTCAATTTAAGATAATGAAAAATAGAATGGATACCTTTAGTTCCAGGAATACTTGAAATTATAGGTTTAATTTTAAAAATCGGAACGGTCTTTCCTCGTGATAAAAATTTGAAGAACAACGCATTTATCGTATTTTAGTACAATAATTTTATGAATCCAGTAAACAACTGAGAATGGACAGCAAACAAGCAGGCGATAAACTGCAATCACCTTACTGTGATTACAGCGGGCGGCACAACAGCAAACAGCAATCATTACACTGATAGAGCTAATATTTTCATCAAACCTTTGCATTCCGTGAATAAACAGTAACAAGATGTCAACGAATATGCAATTATTATACAAGATATATGTTCCTAAAATGTTTCAATAAATCGATATAAAAATGAATGATATGCGACCCTCTTACGTATTCTTGTTTGACGCATGTCAAGGTGTACTCGGACATTAAAGTGATTGTAAAAAAATAAAAAGTCTGAAATAATATGAAGTGGCATTTAGCCTTCGACTAAAGCTGATGTATACTGAATTAAATAACAATTCTTAAAACAGTTTAATAGAAAAATGTTGATAAAAACAGAGAATAATATTCCTTTATAAATGTTTCAAGTCTGCTTCATCAATGTTTTCACTTAGCAACATAACACGTTCCAAGTTTTTAAAAAGTCTTGTCACAGCATCTCTTACCATTCTAACGGTAAAATTTAAGATATTATTTATATTAAGAATTTATGATAGCGTGGTGCAACTTTTTAACGTTAATTTTTACATTGCAGTTGCTCGAAATGTTCGGCTCGGGCACAGCGGTGGTGATCAGCCCGATCAGCCGCATGGGCTTCATCGACCAGGAGATATACATCCCCACCATGAAGCAGACGCGGCCCGTCTTCCAGAGGATCAAAGACACGTTGCTCGCCATCCAGTACGGCCACATAGAGCACCCGTACTCCCACGTCATCTCATAGTGCTACATCGCACCGCCCACAGAGGGTTAACTTTAACACATTGAGTGCTGTACAGTGATTATTATAAAGTGATATTGGGCCCTCGAAATCGCGACGAACATTCCGCTGTTCAATAACGCTTCGGAAAACGGGCCCGTAATTTGTAAGATTTTTTATTACGTGAATGATAACTTTGACGTCGTTAAGGTTATCTGTATTCGTTAAACATAGTTATTTAATAACGGTTAGAACAGGAAGGTAGACGAGGAGCATTTATAATACTGCCATCGTACGATATCGAACTTCGTTTGTAGATAATAAGTGCTAATTAGTTTTATCTTTCGATTATCGAAATGCGGTTGATTTATAAATATTTATATCATAAAACAAATGGTCGAAGTAAAGGTATGAGAATGTCGCGGACCTTGTTGGACTCGGTAGCCGTGTATTGGAATAGAATAAATAGCTGTCGCCGTCGAGAATAATATCTTTATATAGAAATTCAGTCCAAGGTGTTCGTCTGTTATAGTATAAAGTTTCTTGTAAGATATTCCTGCTGGCCGCAGTGTACAAACATTATCATATCAATGCGATATCGCTACAATAACACGCAACAGAGCTGTAATAAACAAGTTACTTTCCTAGAATTCTCATTAATTAACATTTGTAAATTAAATACACTTTATCTGTCATTAGAACAAAAATGTTTTGTTATTCCGTGTCCGCTCTCCGCGCTCTGTTGTACGAACAAATGTTTGTTCAGTGTGATAGTAAGATAAATTGTTACGCAATAGGTTCGCTGCCGATGATACAAAAACTTGACAATTTTTATCATGCTTAGAAGACCTTTATTGTGTTTACACATTGATAAGTAAACGCAAGCTCGCGACGACAAATTGTCACGTTTTAGTGATCTGAGAAATGACCTTAAACTTCTATTGTATGTTATTAATTTCTTTCTAGTCTAAGAATCTGTATGAGTTGTTAATTATTTATGAAATATATGACTTAACAACACTATTATTGCACTTTATTTTCTAATCATAACCTCAAACTATTGCTATCCAGTGATCAACAAGATATTTGATGAAATAAACTAAATCTTTCATAACAATGGTTTATAAAGTACAAATAACATTACTCTGGCGGCAGAGGCAGGTCGTCGTCGAACTCTTCCGTTCTTCTCCTACTCAGCGGCCGGTTGATAGAGCGGCCGAATGTCTGAACACTTTCCTGGTTCTCGTTACCGTATCTGGAAGTTTATTGCGCATTTAACTACTAAATTCGTATAAATAAAGATAATATATGCATTAGGGAGAATGAACAAATGAATGAAATGCGTTGAATATTCACGCGATTGACCCGCTGACGTCGCCCGACCTTGCCTGGACTTCTTACGGCGTCAGTCGCGCTCGAATACGGTTAATGCGAGCGTATTTAGTTAGATTGACTTCCTTAATATAAATGTTAATAATAGATAACTCGATTTAATACAAAGCTGTATGAAAACTTATAATGGCCAGATTTGCCACAAATTAATCAGCGATAGAATGAATAAAGACGTTCCCCTCAAAACAAAATATGCACTTAGAAGATTTTCATTTGGTATAATATTGATCTTATGACACGTATGTTTTACGACGTAATAAACAGCTTAATTGACGAGTTTGTAGCAATCCATAATAATTTTACTACTCATTATCCCCTGTTTTATTCCGAACATAATAAAATTATTAAATGGAAAAAATAACACAAAAAGCGAAATATTTATAACTAGCTTTTGGTAGCGACATTGTCCGCGAAAAATTAAAAAAAATAGCCTACATTACTCACAGATAAATTACCTTTTTAACGGTGAAAGGTTTGTTTTAATCGGCCCAGTAGTTTTTGAGTTATTTCAATGCACACAAAATACCAAAATCTTTTTTCATTATAATTAGTAAGGATTTGCATATATGTTCCATGCTTGTTGGCTAGTTTTTCGAAGTCACTTAAAATATCGCACTTTAGGGTCCGTCAATCACAATGGCGATGCTACTCAGTTCCCTCTGTTGAGAGTCGAGAGCAATGATTACTTACTGTTGTGTGAGCAGCGCCGCGCTGTCGCCGCGCCCGTCGCTGGACTGTCGGGACACTGTTCTTTTTTCACTGCGGGATCCACCTTAACAAGCATTTTACGAAACAGTAATTAGATAAATTTGCTATATTATTATTACTAGTGACTAATATTATAAATGCGAAAGTTTGGATGGATGGATGTTTGTTAGAGTTTGTAGTCTAAACGGCTTAATGGATCTCGATGAAATTTGGCACAGATTAGAACACAGTCTGGAAGAACACATAGACTAATCCCTTTGGTTTTATTTTAATCCTACGCGGGACGGAGTCGCGGGCGAAAGCTAATTTAAGAAGAACCTTTATTAAGTCGGTTAAAAATAATTTCATAGCGCAAACATTTGTATTTAAAACAAAACTTTAAATTTATATTCACTTCAAATAAGTGATAAGTATCGTGTCTTAAGAATTATTATTGACACATCGTGACTAGGAAGAACAATTACTGCATGTACAATTATTTATTTGTCAATAACCGTCGATGCAATTCATAAATCTTGAATGCAGTCAAAAAGTTATAAAAGTAATATTCATTTTTCCTGTAATTTGTGTCATAACTTTACTAGCTTTAAGGATAAAAATATACAACAAATATTGTAAAAAATATATCTCATACAAAATCTTAATTACTGGTTTTACCGTAACGTTATATGTACATAATATATTACTTTATAAGTGCTTTAATTTGTTAATTACCTAATTACATTTGATACATTGAAGATAATCGCCAAAATTAATCCGAAAATTAGTAAGTTTTATCGTTTTTCGCGAGACAATTTGTTGTTAATTTATAATTGCTTTGATATTTTCTTTTTTGCATCTATTTGTAAGGTGCCTAATGGCAGATAGGATCGCGTAACCTTTCGAACAGACATATTAAATATATTCCAACATTTTCGCATTGTATTTGCATATTTACATTCTCAAATAATAATACAGTACCCCTAGCTTTTGCCCGCGACTCCGTCCGTGTGGAAAAAAAACAAAAGTGAATAGCCTCTGTGTTATTCCAGACTATCCTCTACATCTATACCAAATTTCATCGAAATACGTTCTATCGTTTTGGCTACAAACTTTAACAAACATCCATCTAAACTTTCGCATTTATAACATTAGTATGAAGTATGATTGTTATCCTTCTCGACGGATCTGGCCTACGATGGGTCATCACGGACGTACATTGTATTATCATTGATGTAACATAATTCTGGGTCACAATTCCGCTTTGAACCGGTTATTTATATCTTGGGTCTAGGTGTTGGGGTACATATCGATTATTTCTGGTTTTTATCATATGTAACACACTGCTTCATAGTGATATTGATATCATTTTTGTGATATGAATGAAATTTTGATTCTGTTTAAATGGTGTGCTCAAAATTCCCTTCTTCTTTTTGACTTTAATTAATTCAAAGATTTTTTCTAAATTCTTATAATAAAAATCATAATTAAAAAAAATATATTTCGAACATAACTCCTGTGACACACGCGGATTATTATCAATATCGACTATAATTTTTGACTTAATACAATGCGTCACTTAAAGTGTCTTTAAAATGTATTATACAAATATTGAGAGTTTATCTGTTATGTAACCTTTTATCGAAATTAAAAAATAACATTACCCGTGCCGGTGTTGGAGCGGGCGAGGGCGAGGGCGAGGGCGGGGGCTGCGGGGGCGAGGTCGCTGGGCGAGTGGCTCGCGCCGGACGAGCCGCTGCCCGCAGACGTCGACACCACGGCTACAACAAACAAAAAAAAAATTAAGTTACTACCTTTTGCCTGTGACATCATCCGCGTGGAATTAAAAAAAAGGTATACCTAGATACTACTAGAGATACCTAGATTATTTTAGACTATGTTTTACATCATAGAAATCTGTTGATCCCTTCCGGAGATACCATCTAAAAAACATTCATCTATCTAAACTTTCGCATTTACTAAGAGCCTGTCCCACCAAATTGTAAATTGTCTGATAACAATCCAACGAGTCAAATATGTGATGAAAATATCGGTTTTTGTTCCCTATCTGACAGTGACGTCATTCTTAAGCTATCTGAGCCTCTATCAGCCAGTCGTAGAACTGGACCTAAGTAAGATTTTGTTAGGTTTCTCTAATCGGGCCCAGTAACTGAAAATACCCCACATGTGTCTGTGTCCCTTGTGTGCCTCAGGATGCTTGTCGGACTATAAACGGATGTAAATGCCGTGGTATGAAAACGCACGCACCTCGCTCCTGCTGCTTCAGCCGCGCCTGCGCTCGCTGCAGCTCCCGAGTCCACGCGCTCGTCTCCGACAACCCTTGGTCGCCGCACAACTTCACTATTAATTTCAAACCTGGATAGATATTAAAATACTTCATATTTTACATGTAGTCAGTTAAGTAGTTGTTTTTGATGAAGTTGGGAAAAGAATTCGCTTAATATTACGCGACTACAATATTTATAGATAAGTAGTCTGAACTTTTTTGGTATCGAAAGGGATATATTTCTTTCTGTTATCTATTCATTATTTAAAATGTTTAAAGTTGTTTAAAAACTAACATTGAACATTGTCTGGGAATCGTGCGTTTAACTTCTTGTAGAGAGCGAGAGCCTCCTGATATCTCCCACTGGCCCGCAGACAGCCGCCCATCAGCAGACCCCATTGCGGCTGCGACACAAACAATATCAATAAACTTGTAGTTGACACTCTCAGGGGCATTACAAAACAATGACAAGAAAGCGATAAACACGGTTGATAATTTAACGTCGACGTCAAACAAACATATAATATTAATAGAGCAAAAACATAAACATCTTGATCGTTGTAGTTGTCAGATGACAGTTTACGAGGACTTTTACCTCATGTAAAATACTTATAGAAAAGAGAATTTTCAAGTCATTAGTTAAATATTGAAAGTTCATGAGTTTAAGAAATGCAGGGCAGGAAATTGACAAAGTAGTAAACTCTCGAAAGGGATTTACGATAAATAATTAAGCCATAATCTACAAGAGCTACATCTAAGATAAAACAACTAACTTGATATTACTTGTAGCAATAAGGCCTCCCTTGCGCAACTCTTGTATTAGCTTAGTGTTAGTTGTTGTTATTGTAATATTAGGGCAAAAATAATTAAATAAATAGACAAACTTTCTTAGAGATTTCTCATATCAAACCTTTAGTAAAGTTTATAGTAAAGATTTAACAAATATCGTAGTGGCAGTTTGTATATTAAGCAAAAATAGTGACATTGTGCGGCTGCAGGCGCGCGGCGCGGCGGTAGTAGCGCAGCGCGTCGTCCGGCGGCGCCTCGCCCGCCAGCCACTGCAGCGCGCCCACCTCGCCCGGCCACACCGCCTCCGCCTGTTTGTATATTACATTAAATTATTATGTGCTTGTACCAAGAGGTAGACATAGAAAGAGATGGATGGATTGCGTTAAAGGTGACATGATCAAAAAGGGAGTGATGACTGAGATGAGGTATGAGAGTTATGTGGAGGACAAAAACCTGTTGCGCCGATCCTACCGGAGTAGGATAAGAAGGATGATGATGATGAAGACCAAATCAAAAATAATCTAATATTATAAAGCGAAAATTTAAATGGATGGATTGTTCGAGTTTGTAGCCTAAACGGCTAAAACTCGATGAAATTTGGCATGACGTAGATAATGATCTGGAAGAACACATAGGCTAATAACATTTGTTGTTCTTAATTCCACGGCGACGAAATCGCGGGCGAAAGCCAATAACAACATCCACGACACAAAATTAAAGGAACATTTTGACTAAACCAAAATACCTATTTGAAAAAAAAATGTAGTCTAAAATTCTCTCTTTTGTCACGACTAATTAAAGCTCATAACAATTAAGCAATAAACTTGCATCTTGGTAGTGATGTTTGGCTGTCTGCGTGTCGCCCAGCTCGGCGTGCAGCTGGGCGAGCGCGCACGACACGCCCGCGTCCCAGCTACCGATCATACTGTACCTATACGTTTTAAAAATACACATGTATTATAAAGTTTTCTCTCTGTTAATGGTAAGACTATCAATAGCTATATTTTTGTACATGGGTTTTGGCCGTAGAATCTCATTGCAAAGTGGTAATCATGATGTAAAAAAGCAAGAGTAGATAGATACAACCAGAAAATGTGTAATTTAAATTATTTGCTTTCCTTAAGAGTAATGTATTAAGAGAATAATAAAAATTGCATATTGCAAATTCAAAATGCGCTTTTTATACGAATTATCATAATGTATCACTCGTTAATCAGTAAATTATCGTCAGATCCATCTAAAATATTCACGATTTCAAATTTATATTGCGATAATAAACTTCTTTCTTTTTTTTATTTTATAGCAATACATATATTTGCTTCCCATATGTAAAGGCATCGAAAAACTTATAATTTTATCAATTTAAATTTCAGGTGTGAGTTTTACGCTAGATAGTTATGAATATTAACTGTAAAAAGAGTTACCAGTGGTCAGCGGCGGAGGGGTCAGCGGCGTTGCGGTGCGCGAGTCTTGCGAGGCCGGCGGCGGCCAGCGAGCGCAGCGTACCGCCCGCGCCCGCCGCCCCCGCGCCCGCGCGCACCCGCTGCCACCGCGCCTCCGCCCCCGCACCCTCCCCGCTCTGCTCCATACACAGCGCTACACCGACATCACGCCTTATCTTACATTTGAGCATTCAGTATTGGAGGTGGCGGAAGAACCTTTGATTCAACGGCGGCCCATAAGCCCTCCAAGAGTTACATCTTGGCGACAGGTCGCAACCGGACGTAAAACTTATTAGTTTCATAGTCAATTCTTTATTCCTTGACCCAACATGAATGCGCACAGAATAAGATTCGTGCTGTCTGGAGACTTAGAACAAGGAAGGCCGACCTCAAATAAATGGGAAAAGATAGAAGAAGTATATATGCCCTGCGTTATTATAGGGAAGAGAATTTAAAAGACATTGGTAGGTGTATAAGAAACATCTAACTATGAGACATCAAAAAGAGCTTAAGAATGAGATAGAAGACGGAAAAGATTGTCAGTTTGTAATGTGTAGTAAATTTTCCTTTTAATCATCACAATATGCGGTCAGAGCACCACGTGGACGGCGTATAACGATGAAGAAAACGCGTTCTATAGAAACGATAATCCCAATTATTAATTATATACAATGTTAATGAAATTATTATAAATGAATTACTTGATTTGCTCACTCTAACAGTAAATCGATTAAAATGTTACATTGTGAACTAATCTCTCCGGATGACATCATTCCTCGTATCCATAAGCATATTTAACACTGCATAAGTTATAAATGTTCCCACATTGGATGGTTACCAATCAGTTAAGATTAAATTAAGAAATATAAACGATAAACTGTTCCTTTTTCCGATTTAGATTCTGGTGATTTGTTTCGTTTCTTTTAAAAGTTCCGAGCAGTTACCCAAGTCATGCATGGCGACGAGATCTGCGGGGTCGAGGTGCGCGGCGGCGAGCAGGCGGCGTGCCGCGTCCTCCGCCGCGCCGCGCCCGCCCCCCGCCGCCGCCAGCTCCGCCAGCGCGCCGCACACGCGCGCGCTGCACGAGTACGGGTCGTCGCGCGCCGCCGCCTCGCTTAAAGACTTCGCCTCCGACCACTTGCCTAGCTGTAAAAATCTATTTTAAGTATGTAATTTCAAAATAGCACTATTGTACCTTATTGTCCTAACAGGTATTGTTACCGCATAAGCAACGAACGCGGCGTCGGCAGAAGCCTCTGCGCGCAGCACGCGGTCGTCGTGGTGAGCGCGAGCCACGGCCTTGAGACGTTGTAGAACGCGCGCGCCCGCCGCCAACGCGGAGCCCCCGCTGCCCGCCGGCGCCGCGGCAGCGCGCAGCGCCGCCAGCGCCCCGCCCAGCTCCAGCCGCGCGCCCGCGCCCCCGCCGGAGTACCCGCGAAGTGCTTCGGCACACCACGACGCGCTACTGTGCATGTTAAAAACATTAAGAACTCTACTTCTTTTTCGTGAATGTTTTTTTTATGTTCTTCTTCTTCTTTTTATGTTCTTCTCTAGAATTGAGTTATTCAAAACCCTAAGATATTTCTGATATCATTAAAAGAACAATTATATTTCTATACGACTGATTGGACCTGATGCTTGTTTACCTGTATCTCCTGAAAAGTGTATGTGAGTAGGTACCTAACGTCGTCGTCCCTGGCGGCGGGGCCGGCGAGCGCGGCGGCGGCGAGCGCGAGGCAGCGCTCAGCGTGCGCGGCCGCGCGCCGCGACCACCGCCCCAGCCGGTCCCCGCGCACCACGTCCCGTAGCACACATTCATAGGCATCGTTTTCCTATAAACAGGCAATAACTTTTACATCAAAATGTGAGATTACAAAATAAGGGTGTAACATGTATAGACGTACGTCATCTATAGGGATATCGTGGTGGAAAGTGGCGGGCTCGACATCCAGCATGGCGTGGAAGGCAGCCTTGCCAGCTTCGGCGTCGTTCAGCGCTACAGAGCATAGCACCAGATGCAAACCTGATAAACACAAACCAGTAGAAATCCGAACGTATAAAAGAATTCAACGCTCTTTCTGGTTTATCAATGCAAGTTAGATTACCTGTTTGAAAATCCCCTTGTTCGTGCATAATGTGTTGGAAATTAGTAACGGCATCGCGGAACTTGCCCATGCGAACTAACAGCAGACCTATATTGTGCATCACTTTCATCCTGTTAAAACCAATTTTGTATATATTTAATCAAACATGAACTTAACTTAACTTAACAACTTAACTTTAGTAAATATCGTACAATAAACTCACCGAAGATCTTTTTCCGCCGTAGGTGTTTGATCTAAAGCCATTCTGTATAGTTTTAGCGCTTTAGGATGCTCGCCCATTTTAAAGTAAATGTTGCCCATGTTCACCTGGTAACAACAATTACTATTGAACATAGCTAAATGAAACCAATACAATACTATTCATAATTTTACTTTCCGTACCTTCAGTCTATTGGCGTGAGGGAACAATTTATTTCTCGTCAGCAATTGGTATGTATTTAAAGCTTCAGTGTACATTTCATTGACTGCGTACTGTCCGGCCAGATTGCACAAAACCTTAAACAAATGTTTTATGATAAATTTTATAAACACTTTAAACATAAACTTTGCGTATGAAATCAATTTGCGTATGAAACGTTACCGCAAAAGTAAGGTCCAAATTATGCGTGTCACCCATGTTGGCCTGCTCCTGCATACGGATCAACTGACGCTCCAACGCCGATGCCTCTTGAGCTTTCGACAGCGCCTGGAATTTATAAAACTTAGGTGATTTTACAGATTTAACAAAATATCACACAATAGCGGTTATTGCTTTTACGCTTAACGTATGACCATAGAATTACATTACATCAGAATTTATCTACTATTACTAACTTGAGCTAAGTCGTATTCCTTTTTCGTAGGCGCTTCATCGTCCTCCTCCCGCTTGGCGCTCAGCATGCAAGATTCCTCAACTAATGACATTATTCGCCGCTCCATTTGCTGAATTTTGTCTTCAATACTGAAATAGTTACATAATTATGAAATAAACTGTTTCAAATTAAAACAATCTTTAAAGAATTCAATGAGAAAATAAAAAAAATCTTAACCTGTCTTCCCGACGATCATCTTTTAGAGGCGTATCTCTTGCCGCGGACGTGTACCCGGCCGCGCGTAGGGCAGTCATGGGCCGCGCCGCGGTGCCAGCGCGGGACGACCCACGGATCCTGCCGGTGCCCATACCAAATACCTAAGAATATAAATTAAACAATAAGGAAATCACATTCTCATTGATTCATGATTAAGACGCTGTAAATCACATAAAGTAGGTAGCACAGATAACATATACTCTTCAAGGTATATTTTCAACCAAGCTTTAGTTATTTAAAACATTTTTCAATAAGAGAAACGTGTCTATTGATATAAAAAACTTATATGAGAATTCTGGAGTTTTAAAAACCGTTAATCACCACTTTGCATGGCTTCTAGCGCCCAAACAATTTAATTTTAGATTAAACAACTAATTTAAACTTACAGTTGATTATTTCGGAAATCAGATTCAATAATATCGTAAACATGTTTTGTTAAATATTTATTGATCGTTGTTATAGTAGGTACATAGTTACAGTTTGCGTATTTGCGAGGCATAAATTACACTAGGTCACGGTTTATCACTTGCATACTATGTTTTGTACCCTTTTCTTACACACGCACTCAAAAGGGATATAAGACGTCACACTATCAGAATACTGTTTACAATACAAGATCCAGTATCACTATTTATACCTAAGTTTATAATGTAAAGATTATGTTCCCGTCGAAGATGTAGTTTCTGGAAGCTGTTATTCTAAAGAATAGTTTAAAACTTAAAATACGCTTTATATGAATTTGAGTGAAGATATTATTCTAGTGGTTCATCTAACCTACGAGGGCACAAAACATGCTAATGATTTACAGGTCCATTCAGAGTCAAATAACTAAGAGACTCCGCGTAGCTTTTTTGTGGTAAAACTTCAAAAGGGACTGCGTCAATATTTAAGGACTGGATGTGGCATTTAGTGCACTTACCCCAGTCCCCACGCGACTGGTCATCTGTCTGCCGATGCCCGCAGTCCGCACCACCTCCTGGAAACCTTGGTCCTCACGAAGAGTTCGAGTATCCAAAGCAGGGGTCACCTCATTAAATCCACTGTATAAATCATCATCGTCATCTATCACCAACGCAGTACGGGGCTTCGAATCGTAACCTTGACGTGACATAGTATACCGTGAACCAAACATTTTGTTTTAAATAGTTAATTAAAAAAATTAGGCGTAGTTGTTAAAAACAGATATTCGTATTTCGAGCGTCACATTTGTTGTGACGCCGTAACCATAGTAACAAGATTTTTGTAAACTGTCATATTTACGGACACAAGAATTTATGATCAACCATAGATCGCCCATTAACATTTAATAACTTCTCTATGATTTGTTATTATATCCAGTTACGATAAAAGTTTCCTCTTTAAAAAAGTTACTTAAAATTTGGAAAGTTTAGTAATATTATTTACTTTAATTGAGGCTAAATGAAATAAAAAATCGGTATCACATTAAAAATTTATTGCATAATCACTAAACCTCTTTACATTCAAAGTCCATCTCATGATCGTCACACCAAAGAAACATTTATAATATAGTTTTATTAGTACAATGTTTCACATACGATAAAACTGATCTGCATCACAATACGAAGACTGTTAGAACTCTTATAGAGCAGTGCTGCTGGAAGACACTGTTTCACTCTCTACTGACCTCTTTAACACAACTCAAACCTATCGATCATTCACTGAAGCCCCTTCCCGATACCAATCTACATAGACATTCAAAACATCGGGTACAAAAATAAAGACATTCTTATATGACCGTCATTCATATAGGAAATAAACTATGTACTATATGAATCCATGATTTCAAACTCATACGCTACGAGTTACCACAAACTGAACAAATTCATTGATTATTCGTGACCCTAGGAGACTAGCAAGAAATGCAAGTTAAATTTTTTGTACATTTTTCACTTAGCATTAAGATAACACGACATAAAAATTAATAGAAAACTCTGAGGTTCCTATTAACAGAGATATGACTTAGATGTAAAGTTATATATTTAAATGTGTATACATATATTTTTAACAAATTCTACTTCACGGACACACACGCAAAATTATACCAGATCAACATCTCACCTCCTCTTAAACGATTAATTGACGCCTTACGTTAACATTCTTTATAACTATGTCACGGAGCATTCAGCCGATACAAGTTACTTCTTACCCTTACATATGCAATCTCATACAAAAACAAATCATAAGCAATACCTAAATGATACATGTTTAATACTAAATACAAAAAATGACTGATTATTTTTGACAAGCGAAATGTTTGTATATCAAAAAAATATATACTACTCAAAAGTACCTATAGCTTATGGCAAAAAATAGCACCTGAAGACTCAATATAAAATTATCATTTATGCAGTACAATATTCTCAAAACGTTCTTACACTTAATGGCGAAATCACACATACTAGTGTTCAGACTAACAAAATCTTGCAAGGAAAAATGCTCTTCAACATTCCGTAAAATTGCTTACTGTTGATCCAGTGAAATAATGCTTCCACACAATTACAAGTCAGAAATAGTTTTAAGGCAAATCAGTACTTTTCATCTGCGGATTGATTCACAGATGTTCAACAAAAAATCTTTTTTTTTTGGTTGATAATCTACAATTAATACAATAACAACATTTCATAGCCTCTCGCTTACGAACTACGATTGTGTGTACGACTTACTAACATCAAATGATTGTTGTGTTAATCATCGGATCACCCTGTCAAAATTATTGAAATTCTATGATATATTATAAACATTTTTGTCAATGAGTAATTATAAAATATTCATTCAAATCAAACAGTCTGGGGAGTCACTCGCGAAACACCATTTACAGCGAGCTGACGACGTAGGGCCACTTCGATCACATATCTTAAGCACCAATGTGTATTTACCAACACATTTACAACTTGGGACACATCGAACCACAAACACTATGCACAACACCGAGACATGTATGAAAGATTCGAATTGCGGAGCAGCACTTGTCCTTATACACTACAAATACGAATGGCTGACAGAGGAAGGGCAGAGTCGCGGGGGCGGGGCGAGGGCGGAGCGCCAATCTCGGGGGCGAGGCCCCGCGTCGCGAGGGCGGGTCGATTTAGATCTGAGTAGAGAAGCGCGGGCGCGGCAGCTCGAACACGTCGCCGTGCACGGAGCGCGCCAGCGCCTTAATGCTCGCCGCTATGTCCTGCGGCTCCTCCTGACAATACAAAGAAAATTTTCATTTTACAACATTTTCAACTGAAGAAAATTCACAATGAATATGTATTGGGAATTTAAGGAAAGACTGATATTTAAATTAATTAATACCTATTATTAAACCCTTACATGACCCTAAGATGGCTGAGACTAGATATAGTTTATTTTTTAACTTTTGATTTTTGCGCAATAAAGTTTGACAGTTTTTGTTTTTCTAATCGTTCATAAAATATTTGCCGCCTTGGGCATACGTTTTATTTTAACAATAATAAAAATAAATATCGATTCAATAATAATTGAATAATCGATAACGATTTTTGTAGAAGGGAAAATGCTTGGTAATTAAAATAATACGCACATAATCGTCAATTTCCTTAACGGGCGTGCGGTCCATAGTGAAGTTAGGCACGGAGATGGGCAGCGAGCGCGCGATGTTGGCGTGCGCGGCGCCGCGCGGGCGCGCGATGTGGATGCCTTCGTCGTTGCTGCCTTCTGAAACTCAAATATACATACATTTACACATATATTTAATTGTTTTACACAAACTACATTGAAAGCAAAGAAGGAAATTAACACTTGAAGAAAAATTCTTTTGCGAATTAAATTAAAAACAAGATAACTTAGTGTGGTATTTTTTTATAATTTAAACACTGCTACTTACGATCAGAATCATAGTCATCTTGATCAGATATCATGTTATGCTGCGAGTCCATTCCATCCAGGTCAAAGATGTCTTCCGCATCCAGAGAGTCTTCCTCATGTGACATCTGTGCGTGCGTCTGCAATTAACATACATTCAAGAATCGTTTAGTTACATTTATTAAACTACCTAGAATGTCATACATTAAAAAAAACTTCAATTAATGGCCTGTCGCCAAAATATCTGAACAACAGCTGCCCATAGACACCTGCATCTCTGTTGCCTTTGTTTAATCAACGGAGGAAGTGAAGATAATACAGCAAGATAATATTTTCCCTTCCTTTGTGTTCCTCTGCTTATATTTGTAAGCAATTTTAACCTTTAAGGTAATTAATGTAAAAGCAAATTTTTCTAGTAAATGCAGAATACCATCTTATTTTCCTGAGTTGATTTATATGTTTACTTTCCGGCTTTATTATTTACCGAGAAATTATTTATGTACAAAACACAATTATAATATATTCAAGTGATATGTATACTATAAAAATGTTTTCATTACCAAATAGGAGTGAAAAAAGAAAATTTGTGATTACCTTGGATATGTTTTGTGGTATTTTTTTGGCATCTTTGATTGATGACAGTCTTCGTCTCTGCTGCGGCGGCAGCAATGGCGAGGGCGGGCCGTTGTCCAGGCTGGAGTCCGTTCTCCAACTGTCGTTCTCAACATTACGACGAGCTTTGCTCACAATACTGGAAAAACAACAAACCATGATTTTTTCTAATTTGCTAGGGATTACATAACATTATGATGTAAACATATTAAAATTAACATCTGAATATAATTAGAAAAAATTCAATTGAATAAACAAGTGGCTAAACCATATTTAACAAATAAGCTTAGTGAGTTTAAGTCAGTCCCATATAACATTTAAAATCAGAGATCATAGTGGTTCAAGAAATTATGGTTGAAGTAAATGAAATCATATATAATGTTCAATTAAATAAGCATACCTAGACAAAATTTTATGATCCCTTTGTGCCCTTTCCCTGTATGCTTCAAATTCTGCATACTTTTGATCTCTGAACTGTCGGACAGTCTCCACTACCGACTCCAGCTGTGACTGCAACATCTGACTGAGCTGTTTGCTGAGTGTACCGATAGCTTGTGATGTCGGTGGGAACACATTATTTTGTTTTATCACATTATTTGTATCAACATTCTCTTTCATTTCAACATCATTTGTCACCTCCGGGACCAACATGTTGAATACTGGCGAAAAGTTTGGAGACTTTTTCAAATTATTCACCCTCTCCAGTGTTGCCTGAGGAAGAGATACATATTTAATTTGATATAATAATGGCACATTTGTTATTTTTGTTCAGTCAGTCACATTTGTATTTGTTAAAATTAGTTTTAATTTTTCAATGTCATAATAAGTAACATTTATTTTAATTATAAACCAGTTTTAATGGCATTGCAAAAAGGAACCAATTGGCAATTCGGACAGTGTTTTAATTTTTTAAAAGTGTTGCGAAAACAAAGTGCTTACAGCTTTGAACAAATTGCTGAGAATGAATTATACAATAAGTAAATGCAATTTAGAAGTTATAATATGCAATATCAACAGTTTAGTATTTCAATACCACAGCTGTACACATTGATGGGGCCAACAAATAGAATATGTTATTACTGCATATGTAGTAGAAAATAAATTTCACATAACTATTATAATGTACTACAGCTAATAAAATAATTGAAGTGATTTCAAAGTAATAATGTAATGCTTTGAACTAAGTAAAATATTCTTACATTGTAAATCTAGAATGATATAGGCCTATTTTTAAGCACTAGATAAAAAATGGGTTCTCCAAGATCATATTAATATTGTATTGATCTAGATAATAGAGTTGCATTTTACTCATATTGGATAACTTAATTCGGCTTACTTTATATACTACTAGCTTTCGACCGCGACTCCATCCGCATGGAATTAAAAAAATGAAAAATGAATAGCCTATGTGTTCTTCCAGACTATCCTCTACATCTATATTAAATTTCATTGAAATCCATTCAACCTTTTAGGCTACAATCTCTAACAAACACCCATCCATCCATATAAACTTTCGCATTTACAATATCAGTATGAAGTATGATAGACATAGCTTTTATGGAATTTAAAATTAAACTCTATCCTTTATATTTAATTTCTTTGGCAAATATTCACAATCACATTAACATTTTTCAAACCATCAAGTCATAGAATAAAAGAGAATTTGCCAGCAGTATACATTTTATACAAATCATTCATCCCCTATTGTATCAAACTTATTCAAAATGATCTCACTGAGATGGTAAGTACAATTTTATCCAAACTTTATGGTTGTATGCAATATCACATGAAATTCTACATACAGCATAGGAACCTAAATAAAAAGATGCCAGATTGAGTACACCCTATGTTGCCATTGTATGCACCCATTGTATGCAACTAGCCACAAGCCACTATAACATTTGAATATTATAATACAATGAAGGTATAGTACTTACTTGAGTTGATTTAGAGATTAGTACAATAGATCTGTCATGGGATATTGCATGTGTTGTTTGAGCACAGCCGAGACAAGATTCAATTGTCCAGCGACCCACAGACTGGCGTCTCACCAGTGCTGGTTGTGCCACATGAATCTTGATTTCATTCATTGAAGATGATAATAGTTTCTGGAAATTACAAGACATAGTGTTACATAACTGAAGAAACGATTTAATGAATGAAACCCTGACTTCACCAATGCTATTTAAATTCTGTGTTTATATCTACATGGCCATTTTAGGGCTGATAGATATTTATGTTACATTTTAGAGATGTGCTATTAATTTGGGTAGACCAAATAGATAATCTTTTAAGAACATATCAATGATATCAAAAATAATACTGTTTATAGATTGATAATATTACATAAGTTCTCTTGTATGTAATATTTTACATGTTATTATAAAGCCGAAGCACGCAAATAATTAAAATAACCTATGTTTATAAACGAAATGCACAGTTTACCGTAAACTTCATACATAGTGTATGTTATAATAGGTAAATCTATTAATATACGGAATCGATCACAATTAATGACATACTTAAAGCGATACTCTTTTATAAATTCAAGGTTAATTGATGTTTACCAAATGTACCTCACTGAAAAAAATATCTCTTTGTTCCACCGCAGATAAATCCAGTTTCCCGATATCGACATTATCTTCGATTTTCTCACTTTCTAACATAACATTTAGGCATTTGCAGACACAGAGAGCCATGTTGACTAATATTTAGTCGTAAAAGTAATCAAAACAATATAAAAGTAGACAAGAACGTAGTAAATCGTACAAAGTAGTTCAGTGGATAAACGCGTTGTTATTTATGTACAAATACATAACTACTTGACATAGGTGTCCATATAGTATTATTATCATACACACACCACAACACCTGAGATTATCAACAAATCTTAACCACGCACTGAACTATCATCCTAATCTCTTATTGTGTACGAACGAATATAACTCTTATGTGCAAGAGGTCTTAGATATAATCTTATTTGAGAATACAATTTTATAATAACCACAATTGCGTTATAACTTGCGTACAATAAGTCCTTCTTGATACTTTGATTTTATATTGTAAGCTAAAGACGTCGATTTTTCAACCCAATTGGCATAATAAATAATAATAGATCCAGTATTCAGCAGGTTTTATACAAACTGCCGGAATAATAAGTAAACTAATGTAAACATGTCACTCACAATTCACAAGAGTGGAATATCGATTTCGAATATACTTTTACAAAAACAAATATTTGCTGATAGTTAGGTAAATATTAAATGAAGTGTACATTTTCAATACATTTTGCCGAAATGCAATTGCTTCGAAATTTGGCGTATTTAACGAAATATTTTAAATTTAATTTGACACAATTTTCTGTGATTTTCTTAGTTTTTTTAAACAAAAGGCTGTCAATTCTGTCCGCTAGTTATCCAGTTATTATAAAGGTCACAAAATTACTGAGAAAGTTTAAAACACCTACGTAAAGGAAAATGAGTGAATTGTTATTTGGCCAATTGGTCTATAATACGAAAATATTCATAGTTCGGGTGCCAGTGCCATTTTGTCAACTTGGCTTAAAGATGTCGTTACCAGACCATGAAATATATTTAAAAGGCAAAATGCCATATGGATTTGACGTGTCTTGTCACTGTCAATGTGTCGGATGCACTTGCAATGGAAGCAAGTTTATCTAGTAAATTTTATTATTATACGTGGCAATTGATTTAGTCATAGGGATTTCCTTGTCTATAAAACCGTGAGTATTTGCTTCAAGTACGTATTGAATTTATTTATTTGGTTAAAGCTTAACAGTTGTAAGTTTAGGTTACGTTGAAATTTTCAGAAATAAAAATGTCTAAAAGATCTCAACCGGTCTGGTCTCCGCCCTCGGCGACGGAAAGACCTGTCTTAAAACTATTTAATAGTTTAACACGCCAGAAGGAAGTATTTATTTGCTCTAAAGGAAATAAGGTTAATTGGTACAGTTGCGGCCCAACAGTATATGATGCCTCCCACATGGGTCATGCCAGGTATGTTTTAATTTATAAAAATTTTCCACTATTGGGATTTGGTAAAACAAGTAGTAATGCGACTTAAATTTCATTGTCAAATAAAGTAAATTGATCATGTTTATTATCTGTATCTTGATTAAAAATATTAACCATTTGAAACATTTAATATGTCAATATAGTCCATTTATGATGGACTGGAAGTGTCGTGTATTCATTTTTTTCTGTTCTAACCATTCTGAGGATCTTTTATGGAAATTGATATAGCTTAACTTTAAAAATCACCTTTTCAGGGAAAATTATTACCAAATCTCCTTTTAAAATAGTACTAATTACTTTACAGGTCATATATATCTTTTGATATATTAAGAAGAGTTATGTCAAACTATTTTGGTTATGACATATTGTATGTGATGAATATAACTGATATTGATGATAAAATAATTAAAAGAGCTCGGCAGAATTATTTATATGATAAATATGTGAAAGAAGCTAAACCTCTAAGTGATACAATAGATGATGCAACATCTGTCATAGATTACTATGAGCAAGTGGTCAAAGACACTGCAGACCCAGATAAAAAGAACACTATGCAGAAAATGTTAGATAAGTAAGCAATTTTATTTACTTTTACTTACACTTAATTATTAAAAACAAAATTTGAATGTCGCAATAAATATGACTCATTAGCTGTTCCCATGCAACTATCCACATTATAAGAACTTAATATTTTTTGCTTCTGGTATTTCAATTACAAATGTTAAAATTCATATGCTCAAATGAGAATTTAAGTAACTATGGCAACCATTTCTCTTTGTTTCTATTGGCCTTCTGTTTCTGTTATAAGACATTGTTTTGAATAAAGGTGATTAATAAGGACTTTGACTTCAGTTACACAGAGTACTGATAAAGAGGGCAAAATGTAAAGTTATAAATCATTATGAATATATAACATATGCTATAAATAATCTATACTTATATTATATAGAGGAAAGATTTGTATTTTTGTATGTATTTGATTCACGGAAAAATCATTCACCATTAGAAAGGTAATTTATCCGAGAGTAACAAAGGCTATATTTTGTATAATATATATTGAACGAAGTCACGAGCCACAGCTAGCCTTTTATATGTTTACATTTTTCCTATTGGACTGTTTAATTGTGTATACAAAGATATAAATTTATAAGAAATGTATTAAAATCAAAACATAGTATGAAGAAAACCCATTGTTTGTGAAATAAGGATGTTTATTTAATTTTTGTAATATACTTGTAAATGTTTGCAGTGTTGCATCTGCTGTGAAAGCTTTGAAACAGGCTGTGGAAAGTAAGATTGATGAAGATATTATCAAAGCAAAATGTGATCTATTAAAATCAGCAAAAGATCCAATATCAGAATGGCTGGATAATAAGCTTGGTGGTACTGTAAAAGATAATGCAATATTTACTGCACTGCCAAGGTATTGGGAAAATGAATTTCATAAGGATATGAAAGCATTAAATGTAAGTGATTAGCCAATGATTTAGTAAATTTATTTTGTAATAATTATTTTATACTCTGCTATGTTTTTATAATATGATCTGTATAATGTTCCATAGTGATTGCTTCAATTAAGAAATATCTTTTATTTTACAGTAGAACCTCGATAAGTTAAAGTCCAAGGGAAACACAAAATATTTTAAGTTATCAAGGGTCTATGTTATAGATAGGTTTTAGGCTCTGATGGGAAAAGAATGTATTATTTTTTGAAGTTATAGAGGTTTTTTTATTACAGAGGTTTGAGTTATTGAGGTTAAAATAATGAGGTATAATATAATTGCAATGAGAGAAAATTTACTAATTATAAGGATATTTATTTTAGTGATTTGTCTGCTGTATGATAAACTTTTTCTATTCATATTTTCAGGTTTTACCACCAGATGTACTGACAAGAGTGAGTGAATACATACCACAGATTATAACATTTATACAGAAGATAATTGACAATGGCCTAGCATATGAATCAAATGGTTCAGTTTATTTCAATGTGAGTGAGTTTGACAGTAAAGAAAATCACCATTATGCTCGACTTGTCCCTGAAGCTTATGGGGATACTAAATCTTTACAAGAAGGAGAAGGTAATTTTTTCTTATAATAATATTTGTTTCAAAACCAGCTCGACACAGTATCTCAATTAATTGTTGGTTGAGTTAAAGTACAGCCTTTGCCATCAATGTTACAAATATACAGTAGTGGAAATGCGCAGTGTTATGCTTGCAAAAATGTTGCCTTGTTTATTTCAATGAACTTCACTTGTACTTACAAATAACCAATTAGATAGCAGTGATTTGACCAACAACGGGATAACAACAAAAACAATTAATTGATTGACCTTTTATTAGTAGAAATATTTAAAAATTGTCCGATTGGTTTTGTTCCACATCATGCAAGTGTAGCTTTTGAGATGGAACACTGTTAGATTCCCCAACTGTACATGTGTTGTATAATTGTGTATATAATTTTTTCATGTTATTGTTTTATTCCTTAGGTGATTTAACGGATGACACAGTAGAGAAGAAATCCGCCAATGACTTTGCCCTGTGGAAGCGCAGCAAGGCGGGCGAGCCGGCGTGGCCGTCGCCGTGGGGCGCGGGCCGGCCCGGCTGGCACATAGAGTGCTCGGCCATGGCGGCCGACGTGTGCGGCGACTCGCTCGACATACACACCGGCGGCGTCGACCTCAAGTTCCCGCATCACGATAACGAGTTGGCGCAAAGTGAGGTAAAACATTTTTGAAATGGGTTTGAATTCGTTAAGTTGTTTTGGATATAGTAACAAACATCAATCCTTTTCGGATTTATAGTGCTTTTAATTCAATAAAAGTAGTTTAGCATTCCCCTGACACTTGTAAACTTTATATGAATGTTTTCAGGCGCATTTTGATAAGGGTGGTTGGGTAAACTATTTCCTGCACACGGGTCACCTGACAATCGCCGGCTGCAAGATGTCAAAGTCTTTGAAGAATTTCGTCACAATATCTGACGCGTTGAAGCGACACACCGCGCGCCAGCTGCGGATAGCCTTCCTCTTACACGGCTGGAAGGAAACACTCGACTATTCCGATAACACTATGGAAATGGCGATACAGATTGAAAAACTCTTTAATGTGAGTTATGCTAATGCCTCTTTAGTTAAACATATCTATGTCAACACATTTCATGTTACTTTGATATCTTTTTTCTAAATTAACTTTCCGGTCTAGTGGGTGTTTATTGTCGAGCCAATCGCCTCATTAACCGATCAACCTATTATCGGCTATTTTTACCAATGGATTAATCGATTGTATGTGTTGATCAGTGGACCGATCGGTCCAACGGGAAACACTCGGTCGAGTTAAGACTAAATGTGGTATTTGATTTGTAGGAATTCTTCCTGACGGTAAAAGATGCGTTGAGAAGTGGATACGACGAGGACTGCGGAGGCCAGTGGGGGCCGGAAGAACAGCTACTTGCTGCCAAGTTGAGCAGTGTTAAGGAACAAGTGCACGCCGCTTTGTGTGGTACGTAAACATTGTTATTCTTACTACCTTTGGGTCATTTTTTTATTAGCATATAAGATTTACTGTCCAAATAATGGGAGAGCTTAGTGTTTGTGTGTGTTTTTTTTTCGAGTTTATTGATTGTATGGCAATTTGAGATATTTATAATTAAATTAAAATTTAACTAAAAGCATGACATAAGATAATATTTTATAACCGATGTCTGCGACAAGAAGTTTGTAAAAGCACCGTCTAGTGGCGTTATCGTTTACTGTTTTTTCTTAACGTGTTAAACAAATGTAGACTCTTACTTACTAAATGCTGGCCCTTACTGTATATCTCTTAGATATTCGTTGCCTTTGCTTGAACTATATATTATCTGTGTACGTTTTTAGACAACATCGACACCCGCAGTGCGCTGGACGCGCTGCGCGAGCTGGTGACGTCATGCCACGTGTTCCTGCGCTGCGCGGCGCCGCGCCCCGCCCCGCTGCTGGCGGCGGCCGCGCGCTACGTCACAGACGTGCTGCACGTGTTCGGCGCAGTGGAGGGGCCCAGGGGAGGGATAGGCTTCCCTGTCGGAGACGCTGATGGCCTCGGTGTAAGTTTACTTGGATGTTTTTGTAGTGTACAATATAAGGACTTAATTGACCTGCGCTCTTAGTCTACAAATTAAATAGAAGTGGCATGCTTTCTTATAATAGGTAAACAGTATCAAGAAATAAACAACAAACATTACGTAAGTTAGAAAGATGCTGCAATATTATTGTTTTAACTACAACTAGCAATTCCGTCCGCGTGGAATTAAAAATACTTACCTCAGTAGTCTGTGTTCTTTATTTTCATTTAAACTTTCGAATTTATAATATCTGTCAGATAGTGCATTTTTTTTCTCTTGACCTTGACTCTTTATGTACCAAGAATTAGCGGTATAACATTTCTTGGGGTATATCTATAATGATATTAAAAAGAAGAATAATTAGTATGTATGTCTTGAAATTCTTTCACCATTAAAAACCTACGATATTAGTGTGTAACATAGGCTAAATTTTTTATATATTTTTTTATATCACACAGACGAAGTCGCGAGCAACAGTTAGTGTTTAATACATTTACCAGAATTATATAACACTTGCAGTTGGAAGCGGCGGTGATGCCGTACCTGGAGGCGCTGGGCGCGTTCCGCGCGCAGGTGCGCGAGGCGGCGCGCGCGGCCGCCGCCCAGCCCGTGCTGGCGCTCTGCGACGCGCTGCGCGACACCGTGCTGCCCGAGCTGGGCGTGCGCTTGGAGGACAGGCCAGGTCGGTTACATCTTTACAGACCTTCATTACCTACTATCATTGCTATAGATTTTGCTCTTAGTGTGGAATGTCGCTTCTATTACATTTTTTTGTTTTCATATACATTTAACATTTTCCGATTCTGTAAGTTGGCCGCCCTATTCCTCTCAGATAATGCCCTTGAATACAAAGTCTTACAAAAGCTTGGGTTAATTAATATTTATGATATCTAATGATTTAAATACATGGTGTGGAAAGTTAAAAAAATGTAGTTATTTATAAAACACTGATTCCTTTATCTGATTATTTTTTTAACTTTGTTGGTTTTGTTTTAGATCGTACGGTAGTGAAACTAGTGAGTAAAGAGGAATTAATGAAGGAAAGGGAAGAAAAGAAGAGAATAGAGGCGGAGAAGCAAAAGAAGAAACAAGAGTTGTTAGAAGCGCAGCGCGCGAAAGAAGAACAGAAGAAAATACCTCCTAGTGAGATGTTTAAACGAGAAACGGATAAATACTCGAAGTTTGATGACAAGGTCAGTTTTTCTGATTTCTGAAAAAAAAAAATATTGTTTTTGTCTATAAAGTAATTAGTTTTAAAAAGTAACTAATAATTGTAAAAATGAAAAAAAAAATGTTAATTTTTCATAAGCAATTTTCATATTAATTTAGTTCTGAAATTCTCAGGGTCTTCCCACTCACGACCACGAGGGTAAAGAAGTGAGCAAAGGTCTGCTCAAGAAGCTACAGAAGCTGCATCAGGCGCAGGAGAAGAAATACAACGAGTATTTGGCCTCGCTCAACACCTGCTGATATTAAATAATGCTGTGAATTTATTTGTCTAAGGACGTGATATGTACCAGCGTTCGAGTTGGCACGTCGGGCACAAGAGCTCCTTTGTTTCTGACGTGCCAAGTCACTAAGTACTGTAATTCCGAATCTGCATTTTTAAAAGTCATTGGTAAAAAGTAATTAGTTTAATTTTTGAAAATATGGTGCAAAGAGCTTAATTTGTGATTTGAAAACTATTTTGTAGTAATTAAAGGTAATTTGGTGAAATTTGTATTATAAATTTAAAATACAATTTCATTTGTTCGATGTTCGAAAACGGTTTTAAAACAATAGTATTTCATCGTAATTTATTTATCATTTCCACATCTATTTTAGGGCATTTATATTGATATTTTTCATCAGAACTTGCTTCAGTATTAATAAGAGTAATCACAATTCCTCTGTGTATTGTAATAAAATGTAGACTAATATGCTCAAAAAATCAAATGGTCCGAAAGTGCTTTTTTAATTTATTAAAATAAATGAATTAATTGAATGTTTGCTTATTTTATTTCTAATTTACTTAAATAAACCCAGTACAAAGTCACTACAGAAATACCATAGAATAGTAATTGGACCTAGGATATACGCTAAAAGTTTAGATAAAATGGTTCACTTAATAGATTAAAAAAGGTATAAAAACTATTGAATCGTCACAACATTAACGAGTGCGTCAACAAATTAAAAAATAAAGAGGGTTCGATAAATCCGCCGATTATCTACATTTAATAACGAATTGCCCACATCGTGGAGCATAATAGAGTTGTAACGCATCAACGAGCGCCGTACAAAGGAATGTGCCGCGTGCGCAACGACGATAATACTCATAAAGGCGGTAACAGGAGTTATAAAAAAGGTAAAAAGTGAGGTAAACAATCTGGGTGAGTTTTTTATATGGCGACAATGCAGTGGTCTTCTGTTGGAGCTGGGGTGGCGTGCGCGGCCGCACGAGGCACCGTTGCCATCTGCGAGCGCGCGCCGCTACCGATTTGTTGCAAGTACTACTGCTCTCGAATGATCGAAATTTAAATTTAAATCTTATAATTAAAACATATTTCTTGTGCTACTTTTTAAATATCACGTTTCTAAACGTTAACTTTCATGGAGATATTGATAAGGTTGGTTATTTAGCATTATAATGATACGTATTCACTTTGATAATTTTTATTATTAGTTTATGCAATTCAAGCACCATTTTAAAGAAGTTTTGTGTTTGTACAGATTAAAAACTTTATCTAAACTTAAATCTATGAGCTGGCAATTCAAAACATGCAACATTTTAATAAAAAGGAATTGCACTTTTCCCATAAATTTCAAAGAGTCTGCTCCTTATGTGATGCAAATCTATGTAACGTAGTTATTCTGTAACAATTAAAAAGCCGTTGCAGGATTACAAAAATGCAATGTTTAAATATCCGGGTTGGAATCCGAAATCGATCACAATCGGCTTTATCGTGGTCCGAGTGTAACAATGGATGACGGAAGCCGAGGGAGCGATGGGGGGAAATTAACGAAACGCCGACATCAGCAAAGAATTGGCGGTTGACCGCCCGGCGAGATGTCAATCATTTGAATATCAAAATCGCTCCTTTTACCATATTCCACTGAGATCGTGCGATAATACGATTTTATTATACAAAACCAATGAAACGGATTTTAGGGAAAAAGTAACAAGTTTTTCGTTAAAGTTCATTCTTTATTATCGTAAGAAATGCAACTTTGGCGAGCGGTCATGCAGACATTACGAGTAACGGTCGTCGCATTGATATCAAATCAAATACTCTTAAAAATTCTAAAGCATATAAAAGTTACTTATGCAGAAGCAAAAGTCTCCAAAACCACTGGGTATTATTTATTCAATACAATAGGACCTTTGACGACTTCTTTCCCATAACAAACATCCATGCATAACTTCTAGTAATACCTTCATTAAAGTAGGTTCCCACCCAATCCATTGAATTTTAATATATATACGACTCAAAAAATTACACAAAGTAACTACCTACATGTCCCTATAAAGGCCAAAGCATATGTTTTACCGTTAAATGTTTGGATTGTCCGATGTTTGTACTTTTACAGTAACTTATACGAGTATATTGCGTTAAGTGTATATATGTGTACTTTCATACAACCAACACCGAGGAAATTTCATAAATAACCAATTAAAACTTATTTATGGTGTTCACAGCTCCCTCGGAGGTGAATAATATTCTTGAAAGCGGTGTAGGGTGCGAAGTCACGCGGCATCGCAATTATGACTCTGCCTTTGCCCACAGCTCGCAGTACCAGTCTAAAAAAAAAACAATTTTGTTTGCTCATTAATTATTTAAATCTCATTAAACAGCCGCAATTACTTTCTTTATTGCCAACTTTACAGACCGGTTTTATCTAATTTAAACGGGGGAAATTTTTTAATTGCCTGTAAACTTTTGCTCCCGTAAAAAATAGATGTGAACGAAATAATGTTGCTACAATTGCTTTGTTTTACATCAAAATAAATACATTAAAGTGTTATAACAAGGTTTATTTTAAAAGCTTTTTATTGAGAAATTGACAATATTCTATATCATAGCTTTCAAATGTTAAGCTGTTTGTTGTCCAGGCGAAAAATGTGATATGTGAATTTTAAATTAGATAAATAACTGCTGTAGGAAGAAATATAGATAACATTGGAAAAAAAACCTTATCTATAGATTATAACTTCCACCATAACGTAATTTGCACTCAGCGACGTTAAATAACTTACAAAAAAATCAATTTGCAAATGTTCAAAGCCGTCCAAGTTAAACAGGAAATTATCCAAGGCTGTTGTGGCTGCGACAACACTCGAATGTTCGCTGGCGGAGCTTCCGATTGCTTGATGAGCCCCCAGCTGCCTTACTTTGGAACTTGTTTAGAAATTAGGAAATTAAACTGCGCCCTCTGCGCCATAGGAAAATCGCGGAAACGACTTGTATTATAGTGACGTGTATATTATACGGTTCCTAATGAAAAAAAAAACCCGTTGAAATTAAAATTAACACTTATTTTCTAGGAGGACAAAAGATTTCTCGGGCCCGGTTTCTGATAGCTAACGTTATCGCTGATCGGATCGCAGCCTAAGTAATTGTATGTTTTAAAATTATAATTATCAAATTATGAATACCAAGTCTAAGTATTTAACTTTAATAGCGAATGTAAAGTGTGATTGCACAGAATTATTTGTTTACGGACTATGACAATTAATGTTATTTATATATTATCGGTTTTATTTCTTATAATAATGTGAATAAATCAAGAAACATCGTGTTTATTATAATTCTATTTTTGTTTATTGAATATGGCTCGGCGGGCGGGGTGGCCACCTCGAGGGGTCGGGGGGAGATCGCTCGCCCGTGCTTTAATTGCTTTTCACTTAGCAACCGCTCATGAACAGAACGCTCGCGAAAATGAAGAAAAAAATCATTACATCAACATCTTTTAGAGATTGCCCAGATTTGGGACGTTCGGAGAGACAGCGGGCCCCTTATAGGTATAACGCTTTTCTCTTGTTTTTCCAGCGCGCCTCATTTCCGGAAGGGGGTCGCGAGGCGGCGGCGGGTGGCGAGGGGCCTAAGTAATTTCGCTTAAGAACTCTAAACGTAATTAGTGTAGGGCGTGCAAAGGGAAGGGCTTGAAACTTGGAGAGGGTTACGTCCCGCGCCCACCCCCCTCGGCGCGCCGTCTGAATATTAGATCGCGCCGTCTCGCGATAATATTTGCCGGAGGTTTCCGTAAACACGTCTACATTTACCTATCTACCTACCCCACCTATAACAAATTCAGTGCGTTATTCAATCTCGCTGAAGTCGTTTAATTGGGCCCTTTCCAAGTAAACTTGTTTGAGAATTAAAAAAAAATTACACGAGTGTGTCGTTCTTAGATTCTATAACTTTAATAACTTTGATATTTTCTCCGTGAAAAAATATTACTAAGACTTCAAACAAGTTGACGCCGCAAACATAATCGGCTCGTATTAATATTCGACACGTTTATGTTCTTTTAAAATACCTACAAATATTATGGATATTTGATAGGGCGTTCATTCTAAGACCATCAAAGACTTTCAGTATGATTTGACGATCATTTTACAAATAAACCATGCTCATATTTTGATATTATAAATGAATATAAATTATAATATTCCTCTTAAAAGATATAAGCTTGTGTATATTTTCAAATGTATTCAGCGTATTTCATTATTTTGTGTAAAATGCTATGATTTTAAATTATGTTTAAGAGCGTTTTGTACGGTACGAATTTATTAGATAGCCCGAAGTAAGGGCAATAATTTACAAATTCAAAAGGCCCGTGAAACAAGAGAGGAAATTAGAATTCGTAATTAGAGTAGAAGCTGCGTCGCGGCCGCTCCTACAACATTTGATTAGCAATTATGGTAATTTGACTTAAAGCAGGGTAAGATTTCTTCTAATTTGTTAGTTAAATTATTATCACGACTCTTTGTGAATTAAACATTCCTTTGTATATTTAAATATCATTTAGATTACGTCACATTTTTAGGAATGAATTAAATGTCTTGCTTAATTATTAAAAATAATATTAATAGTAAATTATTAAAATAGTAGTGATGCGGACTTCAGCACGGCTAAAGAAAGTACACACAGTTGTGGACACATAAATCAATTTAGTGTTCTCATGTAACATTTAAAAAGTGTTTGCTTGCTTTCGGAAACATTACAATGTGCGATCGAAATCATTTTTCGATTTTGAACAATTTTTGCTTATCCGCGCTATTTAATTAATATTGGTAACCCTCAAGTTTGTAAAATTATAACTAAAAGTACTAGAACCTTTTACTATTGATATAATTGATATGAAACTTGCAATTTCAATTGAAAAACATGATCACCTGTTTAGCGAGTGATCGGATATTTTTCCGTCTTGGTTTTCACAAAATGCATTGGTTTTGCAATGGATATCAAAGATCGAATATTGGTTTCCGCGCGTAAAGCTTTATCAGTATTTGGTACGACTTGGCGGTTGGGTGATTAACATCCGCCCTCGTGGAATGATGTGTTTCTAATATATTAGGTAGCTAGGTCGCGAGGCGCGTTCGATGTCGCCATAAATTTATTTCAATCTTTTCAATTTATTACAAAACTTTCTTTTTTACAATTTTGTTGGGAACTATATTCTGATATTAGTAATAATGACGTAACGTTAGTTATTTTAGACGGATTGATCAGATAACTTCATATAACTTCGTTGTTTTCGATCATAAAGAGCTACAAGTGTACTGTTTTTCACTGTTTTAATATATTTGACTTTAATTCAATATTTTTTTGGGAAATTAAATACTTCATAAAAAGTTTTTTTTACGTATTAAAGCAATAAGGGGTTCTAAAGTCAAACTGTCTTTGGTTACGAGCGGTGACGCTGCAAACTGCAACAGGAATCGCTATATGCAATTTAATTATCGGAATGAGCTCCCGCGCTTTACCCTT